GAAGTTTGTGGCGTTCGCGGACGGTGACACAGGTTGGGGAACGCGCAGCTCCGCAATGACGATCTCGAGCATACCGCTGGGCGCGCCGACGTTCTTCAGCTCCGAAAGCTTCTGGTGCAAAAACCGCGCGTCCATAAGGAGGCTGAATTTATTAGCAATGAGATAATTTTGTCACGTCACGAAAATGGAACCGCAACCGCACCCCTTGCGCGCATCCTCGCTTGGGAGCACCAGCTTCGCGTACTCTTCTGAGAGGCGGTGGTTGATCGCTGCGAACACTTGCGCCATCACATCCTGATAGCAGCGGAAGCGCGGTTCAAAGGCAATCAGTTAACAAGTGCGCCCCAGCGTAAATCGCGCATTTGAAATTCCCTCACCTCAACCACGCTCACAGAAAGGTGGCGCGACAGTACTTTGTGAAGTGTCACAGTCTCCCGCACCAAAACCGCCATGTATGCGTTCACCTCTTTTTGCGGTACGTTCCAATCAACACTCTATAATGATTATGTAAGCGCAACTACCCTAGAATCGCATGCGGCCAGCGCACCTGGAACGTCCGGATGTGCGTGGTGAGGCGGTCGCCCATAATCGCAATCAGCTTCGCGTGGATCTCGTTCTGGTGCTCCTGGTAGTCCTGCCGTTACACACGCTTCAGAAGGGTGAAAGTATGAAACGAAATGGAATGGAATGTGTGATGCGCACCCGTTTGAGCTTGTCGAACTCCACGAGCATGACAGCCTGCTTCTGGCTAAGATGCCGGCGGAACGTCTCCCGCACGTAGGGAATGAGCGCAATCATAATGGACAGCGATTGCGACGCCAATGCTGTCGAGCTGTGTCAGGATACCGCATGTATGGATGGAACGCCGTGTACGCACCAAGATGCTTCGCGGTGATATTCTTGAGGCCAGCGGAACGCATTGCACCAGCGCCGAGAACGACCTGGCATGTCCTCGAATTGAAAGCCTTGAGGAACTCGATCACGCGACTCATGGTGTCCGTCGTTAGCATCGACAGGTTCATGATCACCCGTAGATAGTCCAGCAGCAGCGACAGCGCCTCCGAAGTCGCGGACACACTTGAAAATGTGCGGTCTTCGACACGCAGGCGTATCTTCGCGTTCTTGGCCTGCGAGGAGCCGTTGGCGCGTCTTACAGCGGGAGCTGAAGGTGAGGGGGGAACACCATTTATAGAGTTGGTGGAAGATGCTGGAGTCAGACTAGCCGACGAGGAGAGCGAGGGGAGCGATGCCGCGGAGGATGACGGTACGGGGATTGCAGGGGTAGTGCCGTTAACCAGCAATAGTTCAGGTACGTCTCGCACAGCGGAGTCTACGAGCATGTCAGCGATATGCTGGATCGCAGGTGTCGCGTCCGTTTGCTCCCATTGCTCGTTTTCGACCAGTCCAGCGGACTGTGTTAATCGAGCTTGGTGGAAGGTTTGCAGGAAGGTTTTGGACTAATCATCAATTATTAGACAGCGTAGGCGTCCTAGCATCAAGGCCAACGTACCTGGCTTATAACCACACCCCGAAGCCCAACAATCATCTTGCGACATACGACCTCGCATTTAACCACGAATGACCATGAATCGTTGAAGAATGTAATGAAGTCGGACAGATTCAGCACAGCGTGCTGTTCTGCGCGCATGATAATTAATTTGGCCGCCTCGGTGTTCGAAAGCTCTGCGGCGGAGCTGAGGATGTCGGAAAGTTCCTCTTGGAGAGCCGTAGTATTGGGCGGGGTTTTGGAACTACATTGTGTATGGATGAAAAAACCTCTGGCAGCTGGAAGAAGCGCATACCTGGTTCTCTGAAGAACCTCGAGGAAGGCAGTCCCTGTGCATGTAGTCCCTCAACAGCATTCAGAAAGCTTTTATAAATAGCTTGTAGGAGCGCTAGGAATTCCGGGTGCGGCATATTTCGCATATGATTAGCAAGTCCAGATCTAGGAATTGCTCGTTTATGAGAAGAAAAAAATAGACAGACAAGGTTTACCTGGGAGTGTCTCCGCCTGCACCTGCGCTAGGTGTCGATGACCCAGATTCGCCATCTGTTAGTTCGAATGCAGGAATATGCTATGGAGGAGGATGAGCAGCCTACCACAAGGATCAAGAGGGCCACTCACCCGTCGAATCACGCCCCGCATCTCATCCAATACGACTTCTCGCCACGACAGCGTCGCCTCTCGCACACCTTTTGTTCTCGTCAATCCCTGCAGCAGCGGCCGCAGTCGATCTTTCAAGCTTGGGAGATCATTATTATTTGGCGCCCCTGTGCTTATTCGTTCCAGTAGGTCGACGCGCAAAACCGAGACGAGCTCAGCCGACAACGATGAGGTGATTTCCGTCGTTAGGGTGCGCAGATGCGTCGGGAGCGCGGCAAACGCGGTGAGTGAGGACAGCGGTATTATTGGCGGAGGTAAAACAGGTGAAGGAGGTGGCCGTTCTTCCGGCGTTGGAGGTAGTGATGATACCCTCCCATTTATGGTCCCATGCAGCTTTGCATGGGAGGGAGACCTGCCCAGCAAATGAGGTGTGGGGGTAGGAGGTTCCGAGGGAGTCTGGGGACCATCCCAGAGCCTCTCCATGTCCTCGAGTACGCAGAGTGCCTGGTCCCACTGCCCAGCGGCCACTAACCCTTTCGCCACGCCCGTCATTCTACCACCCCACCCACATATTTGACCCCTTCTCGTACTTTCCCCAAAGTTCGCATCCTGCTTCCTTTCCGTACAACCTCCAGACCCTTCTTCGCACCGTTCTCGTCTACATCCTTGAGGAGCGTGCGAAGTTGGATATTCGGTCGAGGCATTCTTCCGACTCGGTTTGCAGCTCGTGGAGATTTGACAACGCAGCGAAGAACGAGGCAGAGCGAAGCGAGATCTCGCGAACGAGGTGCTGTTCGACGGTATCTGCGTAGTGGGAGAATTTCTCCAGGAGCGGTAGAGAGTAGGAGAGCGCTGTGGGGTCAGCGGCGGGGGTCATGGTCGGGAGAGTCTTGCTCGGTGACGGCATTGAAGGTCCGTGGGTCGCCGAGATTGAAGTCCGACTGGAAGAATACAGTCGGAACCACATCCAGCGGCGGTAACGGTCTTCCCGGGGTTTGGGCAAATGGTCCGTTTGATGAAGAAGCGCGGGGAGTGAGCGAACCCTCGAGCTGCATTTCGGCCGTCGCGATTGATCTGGTTACTGTGCTCCAAGCGCTCCCATTCTGGAGTGATGGCGCGGAGGTACGAGTCAAAGTCCTTCCTGCGAACCCGGGGAAGATCTGCGGGGGCGACGGCGGGCAGCGACGAGTGCGCCTTCGGAGGTGCTTGCCGCTTGTGCGGATTATTTAGCACGGTCGAAATTGCTGGGCGAAAGTTCATAAGGCCATATGAGTGTGGTAAATGAACACGTACCGTGGAAGCCATGAGTAGAACTGCTCCACGCCGGAGGTAGTGCACCAAGGGCAAGACTCGCGGAGGAAGTGTTGAATAGATTCAAACGCGACGGGCCCGCAAAGTAATCCCGCCCTTCCGTAGTCCCAGAAACACTTTCTGGTCCTTTCTGAGCGGGATCCCAGTTAAATCTATATGGCCGCGCGGTTGGAGGGAGTGGGGATACAGGTGAGGCCGGCCGGGATAGATTCGAAGACGAATGGTCTGACATGGAACTTGCATCCAGCACCCGTTTTTGCCAGCCAGGATGTTCCCGTCAAGTGTCAAGATGAGTTGTGCATCGGCCTCCGCAACAAACAATGCAGATCCCTCCTGCAATCGCCCAGGTGTTCTCATTTTTTCCCCTCCACACCTTCCCACCAATAAAACCACAGTCTGGTCGGCACCCAGAGCTCCCTACTCTATGGATTCATCCTCCGCACGCGTTGCGACTCAGCACAGACGTCGAATGTCTTAAATGGCAGGCTTACATTGCACTTCGCGGTCTGTCAAAAATAGCACTGCGCTGGGATATATCTGCAGAAGGGGCAATGGGCGCGCGTCTCCCTAATCTTCACCTCGCCAACGGCGAGCTTCTTCCGGCCCAGCTTATCCCGACATGGGCAGATGAGGCATCAGATGAGACGGAACGTCCGCTAGAAGGCTATAAGGACCAGGCCGCGCTAGACGAGAGCAGGGCATGGGTGTCCCTCCTCGAGGGTGACGTCCATGCAGCTCTGGTGCGCGTGCTCCCGACTATATCTCTCCTCAGTTCCTTACTACTTCCCAGATCACCGCCCTGCCGGCCCCGTCGTACCTCATGTCGCTTTTAACGTTCCCGCAAAAACCCTCTCGTCCTCTAGAATCAATTCTCTCGCCGCCCCCGCCACCCCTCTCGGGACTGAGCACCATATTCCCGATATACGGCACGCGCATTTCCCCGAAACTCATCGAATCCAGGTACCGCGACGCCATTTCAGCGATTGCTGACCGCCTGGGTACGGATAAATGGTTCTTGGGTTCCTCGTACGTCTTTTCTTTTCCCCCTATATCTCAACAATAAGACGTCTTTGCAGCGAACCAACCCCGCTTGACGCTCTCGTGTTCGCGTACCTGCACAGTATTCTACATATCGCGAACCATATCGTTCGTATAGAAGTAACGCGACGCGTGAACCTCGTTGCATGGGAGCTACGGGTGCGGGGGATGGTATCTGCCGCGTTTGTTCGCCCTTCATCGGAATAGTGGACGCGTCAGAATGGGCTTTTTTCATTATGACACCGCTGCTGAAGTGAACTTGGTCAGGATGATTTCACTCTTTTACTCTAGGTGCATTATATCAGAGAGTTATTAAGATGCCGCCATTTGAGAAAATCCGTGTATTTACGGCAACCTTTCGTTTTCAGGATACTTTTGTTGGAACAAAACAACATCCTTAACCTTTATGAGGAATGGCGATAAAGAAGACGACGCGTCGTTTGCGATACGTGAAGTCTGCATTCAGGCTTGCTGGAGGCTTTTACGTTCTGGAAGAAAACTTCCTTGGAGCAAACGCGTCTGTCTCGAAGTCGAAGCAAAAGCGAAGGGGCCCAACCGGGAATTGAACCCGGGACCACACACAAACTTGAAATCAATGATCTCTGGACAAACTCCCGAAGCGTGTATCATACGTCTAGACCATTGGGCCGATGGAATGCTTGCCTCTGTTGGAAATAGAATGGGTAGTGCCGGACTTCGGGTCAGTGTTTCCCACGGTTCAATTTCGTGCATCGTTGCATCGTGGGCAATAAATGTGAAAGTTGAGCGTTATGAGCATAAATGACCAGAACGCTGCATGTAATCAATGTGCCATCTCTGTGCAGGCTGGGACATCGCGTATTCATTGTCCTTGAGTTCAAGACCCGTTGTACAAAAAGAGTGTTTTGTAGTTCGACTCAAGTACCAACCGATTCGTTATGATATCGATATCAGTGCCACCGCGGCCGCAGACCTTGGCTTTATAGAGCATACAAACGGAGCAGGTTGACTAGGCAAGTTTTGGATATGTTAATATTCCAACTAGTGCACAGCGCACCTGATAGTGCCTGGTTGGTAGTCTTCTAGCGGTTCAATGATTTGCCCATCCTTGACAGCCTTCGAGATCGTGAATGTTGCAAGCGTCGTGGCGCAGGCCATGAATACCGACGCGTCAGCGAGAAGTTTACCTGGGGCAAGTTGTTGGCAGGGAAAAGTAAACAGCGGAGGTAATTATACCTGGACAGACTCTATACAAGGGCTGATGAAGCTAAACTCAAGACATGCAAGGTTCTGCGCACCGGCGCCCAAATCCGAATACAAAGTCTCGGGGATCTGGCTCGGGGATGTGGCCCTCCATCGCGAGGAATCGGTCCGGGTTGAATCTCAGAGGTTCGGAATATACCTCTGGATTGTGGGTCATGTTCCTGCATTGAAATCTTAGACTCCGATGCGATGTCCGGTGCAGATTGTCAAATACCATATATTTGCAAGAATCATAGAGCCTGGCAGACACAACATATTTTGAAAAGAAATTGAACTGTGGTTGGAGCCATTGCGAACCTTTCGGGATCAGATATCCATCGTGAATCGCTTCCTCCATTGCACGGTGAGGCACACCTGTTTCTCGTAAGAACAAGCAAAATTTACAGAAATCGGCACCTGCCCATTGGACCAACAGGGTGGTATCGGAAGACCTAGAAGCATGTAAAGATAATTTTAAGGTAGAATCAGGCGGTAAGGAAAACCTCTTGACAGAGCGCATTCAAATAAGGTAGATTGTTTCTATCTTCGTGGGTTGGCAACCGATTCCTTACAACGGCGTCGAGTTCTGCCTGTGCTTTCATTTGGACTTCTGGGTGGAGCGCTATTTGAAGGAAGAAAGTGGAGACGGAAGAGGACGTCTGTATACTGAGATGAAGGATGGTCGCATTTGAAGAGGGGTATCAAAACTGACTGTATCCGCGGCACCACCATAGATGCTGCCGGCCGCCCATTTGAGATCTGCTATCTCATCTGCCGAAAGATCCTCCTGCAGCAATACGGAAGCGAACGAGTTTGTCGCCGATCCTTGTGCCTGTGAGACCATTAATACCAGAATATCAGTGTTGCCTTGAGCTAACCAATTGGTCCTCAACAAGCTTGTATGGCGTATCAATCATTTCGGTAAGATGCTTTCCCCAGCTCTTCGCTTTACGCTGAAAGCCCGCCCCGGGCACCCAACTAGGTACATATTTCACTAGGCAAATATCAGTCAAAGGAGGTACTTGACGAAGAGTGTGTACATACAGATAGGAAGGAGATCGACCAAGAAGGCACCAGGGGTGGTAGACACAGAAAACTCGTCCATCACACTGTTGGCCAGACTGACAATGGGATCGTTTTCGCTTTGAACCGTGTATCCATAGGTGATGCGCAGTGCAACAGCGCTAGACGATCTAAGAAGAACTCAATGAAAGCAAAATAATGAAAGTCGGATCTCAACTGATGAATATGGGAGATGAATCGCTCCGGAGATTCCAGGATGCGTTGCGAAAATTTGTAGTACTCATTGGTTATAATGGGGTGAAACTTCGCAAGGTTGGTTTGACTTCCGAACAACTGATGAAAATATTTGCGGTAGCGTCTGAACTGAGGAGTGCCATAAGAGAGGAGAGCCATGCCCTTCTTCCAACCAATCTACAGTCGTGGTGAATCAGAGGATCGCATAGATATAGTACAGGCAACGAACCAACTCGCCGCACATTTGGAAGACTGGCCGATCAGAATAAATGGAGCTCTTCTTGTCAAGGATTTCTATGGCAGTCTCCAACGAGTTGAGAATGACCACGGGTTGGCCAAACACCGTGACCGAGGTGATATCTCCAAAATTTTCTGACCATTTGTTGTAGGTACGCCATTCTTTATCTGTCCCGGAAGGAAGAGCGAGGAATCCAAGCAAAGGGCGGGGTCCCGGAGGCAAAGGCGCGCCTCGAGAACGAAGGAGACGCCGGACCAAGAAGATGCCGAACAATGCGAAGGCCCCTTCCAGCACGGTCAGTGAATGAAGCATCGGTGAGGCCGACTGGATCTTCCTGAACCTCCCCCTTATAAACGCAGTCGCTGCTCCTCCCTGTCAATGCCAATTCTGATGGGACGATTGGAAGCCGAAGTACAAGTCCAAGTTCAAGTGTGGGATCGGGCAACTCGGGGAGCACGGACACGTCCGTGACTTCAAGTTAAGCTGCTATAGCCAACAAGATCAGGAATCCTAACGCCGGGGCGACCGATAACGATCCAATACGTACGAGCGACACACAAGGACCATTTACGCATACACCGTGCGTGCGTTGAAAAATGAAATGAAAAGACCCTTATTTCGAGACTCAGCACAGATGATCACAGGACGACTAGTACCGAGACTTGGGCTTTCCTGTGAGACACGTAACATAGACAGCGCAACCAAAGAGTTCCTGTTTGAGTTTGGTTTGAGTGCAAGTTCAAATGATCGGAATGTCATCAAATTTGACTACTGATGCGGCGCCGGATCGGCTTCACACCCGTTTGATTGCTTGCACGATGCGGCCAGAATTTCTCAAACTGCCGTTTCCTCGCCGCCATGGATCTACAGCACTTACACCAGGCCCTCCCAAAGCTCCAGCCATACCTTTCCCTCTTCCTCGCTTCTTTCGTATTTTTTAACGCCATCCATCTGGTCCTGGTGCCTATAGCAGGCCGCGTCTTTTTCTCGTCCCAATGGGCGCGTATGGGTGCCCGCGCACGGAATAACTGGTTCGGCTCGATGTGCTCCGTGTCTATCCTTCTTAGTTTGCATCTAGGGCCGTACACATATGCTCACAGGTTCATGCGATAATTATCTTGCCGCTCGCCGTGCGCTGCCTTGCTCTGCCGGAATTAGACGCCGACCGCGCATTTGGTTGGCACGACTCTAGCGGGACAGTACAGGCCGTTGCGTCTGGGTACGCTCGACTGTTTTGTTACCTTCTGCGTTTAAATATTGCCCAGGTACTTTCTGTGGGACTCGATTGACGCTATGGTCAATTTCGAGAACATCGGCTTCGTCGCGCACGGTCTCGCGTGTTTTGCAATCTATCTGGGTTCTTTTGTGCGCCACTTCTCATTTTGAACGCGTCTATATCTTCAATTTTGTGCACAGCAACCGTTTTTAGCATACTACGCCTCGAGGTGTCTTCTGTGGGAAGCGTACGCATACCGCCCACATACTCCATTCCTGTGCTGAAATTTGTGTAGGAGCACATTTTTCCTGAACATCCATTGGGCGCTCGACAAGACGAACCGCACAGGCAGCACCTTTCAACTCATCAATGGCGTCTTCCTCGTCTTGACGTTCTTCTCCGTGCGCCTAATGTATGGCGGCTACACGGTTCGTTCCGCCATTGATTGAACATCATCCCTTGTTGAGTCAACTTCACCCACGACCCTCAGTCGTACCAATTCTTCCAGACGCTGTACCACGGCAGAAATGAAATTGCTCCCCTAACGATTATATCAATCGGTGCGGGGAATGTGCTGCTGCAGGGCCTTAACTGGTTCTGGTGTGTCTTAGCTCTTGCATATATTGTTCGTTAGCTGATTGATGCTATGTGTTTGATAGGCTAGCGAAAATGGTCTCGTCGCTGCAGAAGCGCTTTGCTTCTCCCAAGGCGAAGTCAGCCAAACTTCAAAATGGCGTTAAGCCCAAAAACGAGTAATAGGTGTCAGAGCTTAACGGTGGTGTACCGGCGGTGAGAGCAAAGGGTTCATTATTCAAAGGACGGAAGATTTTGCTTCAATTCTCCTCACATATTATAGATACTAATCTGATTGTATAGATACCAAACGACTTGTATTAGAAAGCTTAGACTCTGTACGAGCCATTTCTTGTTTGCCTCAGAACTCGAGGAAGGCTCAAGTGTTCCAATGATAATCTACACAAAAATCAATTGATGCCATCATTCACACTTTTCTCCTCATCCTCGCAGCAGTCCTGTCGCAGTTGCCACTGGCAGTGGCAATGCCAGTCACCAGCTGTCGCGACTATTTTTCACACCGGAACGGGGCTCTGCCGACGTCGCTTAGGATTTGGTAATTTCATGCGGCTCATTCAAGAATCAAGATGATATACTTGTCAAGATTGTCAAGACCCAGAGATATATCCATGGAGGCCGCTACATATTCCCTCAAAAAGAGCCAGCTTACTTTCATTCTGCATGCTATTGGGCCAGCCGAGCTGTCGCACGCGGTTCACTTGAGATAATCAGAAAAGGGAGGAAAAAACAGGCGAAAAAACCTCGGAAAAGGGAGCGAAAAAGCCGCGAAAAAGTTGACTGTGAACCACCTTTATGTGCGCATCACTTTACTTCATGCGGCAACGGTGAACTCGTCCTGAGTTTAAGAGAGGGCCGGAATGTGTACCATGAATACGCCCCTCCCTTGTAGGCAATCCTCTAGATGCTGCAAGTCGAAAATCATCCCTCTCAGATCAAGTCACAGGCGAGCATACCGCTGGATGCTGCCGCTATAACCCACACCGCCCGCAACCATCATAAATATCCTGGAGCTCAATATGCCCTTCCATCGGACGACGTGGAACGAGAAAGGCAAGTTCTCCACTTCAAGTCTTCTGGGAGTGATCGTTCAACCACGTATCAGACTAGAATTCCAACACAACAC